CGGCAAGCTATGAAAGAGACGGATTCGCCAGTATTACTGGGCAATGCCCTGTGTGGCTCGGTTCAGCCCAGGAGAGCCCAGGCCAGGGTTTATTACTTGGGTTACAGCTGTGGGTCGAGGCCTTCCAGGGAGCTGGGCGCTGCCCCACACACCGTCCCCGCCCCAGAGGGCCCCAGTCTGGATAGACAAGGGAGGAGAACCAGCCCCACCTTCACACCCGAGGCCCAGAGAGACGAAGGGACTCACCCAAGGCCATGCAGGGAGTTGGGGGCGGAGCTGGACCCTGAACCCAGGTCTCTCGCCTCCCAGTCCAATGCTGGCCCCAAAAGGGCCAGAACTGCACCCTCAGAGCTCCCCAGGCCCCAAGCAGCTCTTTGGATACGGCGAGAGTAGGGGAAGGGACGGGGGCCTGGTGCGAGGAGGCAGGACACCTGGGTTCCATTCCTGGCAGTTGAGAGTTACCTCCCATGTGCAATAGGGCTGGGACTGAGACACCTGCGAGGACCTTCCTGTGCCCTAGTACCCTGCCCTTCCCCTCTGCGCACGGAGCTGAGCAGCACCTTGGGGCTGCGTCTCCAGAGCCACCGGGGGCAGCGCAGAGCACCAGGGTTGGAGGGCAGCGCAGAGCGCCGGGGTTGGGGGGCAGCACAGAGCGCCGGGGTTGGGGGCAGCACAGAGCACCGGGGTGAGGAGGGGAAGGTGCCCTGGGATCATGGCCTTGGCCAAGCAAGGGCTGACTCCCACCAGGAGGGGAATTGCTCTCCCCCACCCCCCGCCACGCCAGATTTCACATGATGAATTGATTTAGAGCCTGCAGCACCCAGGGCACACCGGGGAGTTGGCTCTGATTAATGCTGCTGGAACAAAGGGCGGCTGACGCGGTGTTGCTCTGCCCTGGATGCCAGGCGGGGCGAAGGGAGTTCGAATGGCACTGCGTAGCCCAGCCCGGTGCCCAGCTGTGAGCTGGCAGTGCCAGCCCCACCCTCCTGCCCGAGGGGCGCAGAGCCCATTGTTAACGAGCAGTGCCCACTCCCATTCTACAGACGGGGAAACCGAGGCACAGAAGGAAAGGCACCTAGCCAATGCTCCTGAGTCAGGCCATCCCTCGCTCTCAGACTGCCCTTCCTTTTACGTGGGTAGAGGACCCTTCTTTGGCGGTTCAGGATGGGGCTGGCCGGGGGAGAAGGGGGGCTATTGGTTAGACAAAGGACGCTCTGGCTCCAAGAGGGACGCTCTCTGTATAGCAGCAGGGACTCATGCCACACCGCTGGGATCTCACCCCCAAGGCTGGCTGGAATTTGGGGACGGACAATCCAAGAGACAGAGGCGTCGCTCTGCTTTGTAACAGGACTTACCAACTCCCCCATTCCCCGGTTATTCAGGCCGAGGAGTTCGAATGCCGGGCCTCCCTGCCTGCGGGGCCAGGCACTCTCCTGTAGTAGGCAATTCTCAGCAGCAGGGAGGGACGCTTGGAGGGAACTCGGGGACCCAGCGAGCAGCGTTACAGCCCAGAGGCCTGCTCATGGCGCCAGTTCACTCCCAGCGAAAGGCTCTGCTGGACCAGGGCTGCCGCGCAGCCCCCTTCTCACGAGCTGTTTTGCAAGCTACGCAGCCCCCCCAGCTGCATTCAGCCCCGTTCGCCTCCCCCCGCCAGAAAGCAACAGCCTGGACTTGTTCCAGGGATGGTCAGTCAGGTGACGACTCTGTTCTGGGCAGGAACCGCCCTGGGGCTGGCAGGTGGCGGAGGGCAGCGTCGCCCAGTGCAGGAGGACGCCTCCCCAAGCAACCAGGCACCTTTCCATCTGCTGCGAAGCCACGATGAGGCCTGACAAACTCATTCCACTCGTGGCGTAGGCCCGAGCCCAGCTCACAGCGTCCTGCCCTGGGCACGGTGGGGCGACAGCTGGACAGTCCAATGGGGCTTTTCCTTCCCTGAGGTCTAGGTCCCAGCTCCACGCTTGACGGAGGGTTTGTTCCCAGCGCAGTGCCGGTGTCTCTGCCCCAGCGCCCCACCAGCCAGGTCCCAGTCTGAGCCGGTGCGTCAATCCCTTCGCTCTGCACTGCCCAGCGCGGACCTGATCTTCAGCCTCTCATGTGCAGCGTGAGGAGCCGGCTCTGGTGCAGTTCCTGCCACAGGCTCATCTCCAGCTGCAGGTCGTGGTTGGCGTAGAACACCAGGGCCTTGTGCGTCAGGTCGAAGTAGTGATCGGAGTAGGCCTGGTAGTCGGGGGTGATGAACCCGTAAGCGCTCACCTGGGAGAGGGGGTGGAGTTAGCCAGACCCTGCCAGGAGCCCTGAACAGCCAGGCACAGATCCCACCTAAAATCCCACTTGGGGAGGGGCCAAAACAACATCCGACTCCCCCCCCCAGCCCTTTAAAGGGAGATGTGGAGCAGAACCTGATCAGAGACCTCCTGCCTGTGGTGTACGGGCCTCCCCTGACCCGCTCCCGTGTGTGTGTGGGTGTCACCCTCATGAGGGTCTTGCCAGGTCCGGTGGGGGGGGGGGGGGGG